CGTTGGTGGGTCAGATCCTTCACCACCATCCTCGTCACACTCCTCTATTATCCCTTCATTGAGAACGCATGTGTTTCTGTTAGGGATCTCTAAACCACGGAGTTGACCGCCGAGATTAACTTCTCTCTCTCGGCGAGTCGTGCTCGTGGACTCATGTGTACCAGCGCTAAGGGGATTCTGCGCCTGTGGCACACTCTGTCCTATGCTCTGACTCGGTAAATCGGCTATCGACTTTCCCATAGCTGTCTTCTTTTTTACCGATCGTGTTTCAATTGGCATGAACTTCGTAGTTTAGCACTAGGTCCCACCGGGCGTGCCAAAATGTTGACCCTAGAAACTACAAAGCCTACGTGGCGCGCAGGCCGAGTATTTTCTAAGCTGACTACGTCCTTCGGTGATTGCGGGGCGTGCCAACTCGTCGGCCGAGCTCGGCCGAGGAGTAAATTTGATGATGTTGCGTTGGGTCGCGCTACTGACTTCTGCGTCTTGCGATTGCGGCCGAGAAAGGAACACGTCTCGGCCTCTTAGGTTCTCGAGCCTGAAGACAAGGCTGCTATTCTTACGAAGTTCACGAACCGAATTCGGCTTTCGACGTGCCGAATATAATAACTGTAACACCTCACTTCGCCGAGAAGGCTAATGAGATGACCCCGACCAATAAGGATTCAGAAACCCTTCTCGACCGAGACTTGGATAGGTAATCAATCGTTCTTGCCGCAGTGCTGTTGATGCCAACGGAAGATACTGCAAGACTGACTGACTCTACGGTGACAGAGCTATCTATGCCGACTTAAGATATCACCGGTTGCTTCCACAGTGCTGTTGATGCCAACGGAAGATGTGTCAGCGAAAAAAGGAAAAGAAAAAATCTCAAGTTGTGAGAGTCTGCGCAGGGCAATTTTGTATTGATTTTGTAGGGGCTTCTCCTGATGCACAGCGTCCCCTATTTATAGTACTGAACCTTGAGTCCGAGTTTACATCCTACTCGGACTAGGTTTCCCTCTCCGGATCACCTCAACCAGTCCTACACCTACTAAGACTATGAACCTAGTCCTTAGCTAAGCTGGATTAGTTTCCTGGATATTCGATCCCGTCGAGACTCCCCATTGCACTAGGATTCGTCCTAACCGCCCTAGGTTTGGACTCCCACGGGTTGACTGATCCATGGTCCTTTTGCCGCTCGGCCTCCTGGGCCGAGAGTGATCCTACCCTCGGCCCAAACTATTATTTTGGGCCCAAACACCCACAAAGAAAAGATTACAGATTTCACGGGTACAAGTTAGTCTTAAATTTCAGGTAGACGGGCCATGGTCCCACTCCAACAACACCGATACTGTCCCCACTTGGCCACCTGCTCAATCCGTCAGGTGTGGGGTTTTAATACAAAAGGTCTCGGTATTAGTTCGAGTGGGGTAATTCTATATAAATGGCTTGTTCTCAAGTCTTCTGGCCGATGTGGGACAAAGGAATTCTAACATTCCTCCGCACGTGAGACCCCATTTTATGGGTCACACGTAGAGGTTCCACACATGGGCAACCACGTAGAGCCAAGCCGCGTGGCATCTCTTGGCCTACTTGGAGCCAAGTCGGGGCTCACCCATTTGCGCAGGGCCAAAGGGGACCCATCCGTTCACGTGGATGTACGGACCCGTCCCTAGCTCGGGTACCATCTTAAATTTCAGGTAGACGGACCATGGGTCCACTCCAACAACACCGATACTATCCCCACTTGGCCACCTGCTCAATCCGGCGTGGGGTTTTAATACAAAAGGCCTCTGTATTAGTTAGAGCGGGTAATTCTATATAAATGGTTTGTTCCCAAGCCTTCTGGCCAATGTGGGACAAAGGAATTCTAACCGTTAGAATAAATTCACTGTCCACATATATTCAACAAAGATAAACATTGCGCTACAGATTTCGAGCTTATAAATAACCTCATCGATTATCAAAATTCATTTTCGAGAAACAGATACTGCGAATATAAACTCATTCTACTGTTAATATAACAACAAACAAACAACCAAAAACACAAATAAGTAAACCAGGTGGTGAAATGGAAGTCGAAATCGGGTTAAAATCTATAAAACAAAATCGACTATCTCATTTCTGACATCTCAAAATTGCAATCGGCAAATCGCAAACCAAAACAATATGTAAATTAAAGCACGAGAATTTCACACAACCTATAAAAAATTAAACAGAAATAAAAATGGGAAATAACAAAAGGACCTGCAGTGACGTGACCACCGGGGGAATTAAGGTACATGTGGATGGGCTTCGACGGGTTCTCGGATTCCAAGTAGAGAAGCTGCGCGACGACGACGTGGGAAGTGTCGTCGTCGATGGGTCCGTTGATGCAAATGATCCGCTCCTTAAGGAGGCGGGAGAAGATGTCGTACGCGCGTTCCCCTCGGGAGGAGTGCTCAATGACCATGGGGATCAAGCTGTAGCTGCGCAGAGATGGGCGCCATGGCCTGCTACTTGCCAGGAGCTTCGCCTTTGAGATTAAGCCTCTCATAATGAGAGAAGGGGAGGGATTCGCAGACGAGGGATAGGTTTTATGGGTTCAAACGTTACTCGAACCCTCGAAGTGTATGAGAGAGAGAGTGTGTGTTTTTGTGTTTTAGGATCTGGGTTGGTTGGGTTCCTCTCTGGTCGGGTCAAGGAGTTGGGGGGTTTTCTTTAGAGAAATTTTTTATTACGAAGGAACGCAGGTGTACCGTGTTTTTAGGTAAATAGTGATAAATTTTATTTTTTAAATTATAAATTTTTTAATACACATATCTCATCATTTGTATAATGATAAGTAATGTATCATTGTCGATCATACTCAAAAAATCTTTTGTTTTCTTCACCACATGTAGGTCGGGGTAAATACGACAAATCAGAGAGTGGGTAGATAAATTTTTTTGTGTTTGGGTCTGTACAGAAACATAATTCGGTTGCTGGACCCTATAATTTTCAGGGTTAAGGTTGTGAAGTGTGAAAAACTATTTTTACTTGTAAATTATTGTAAAAAACGTGGGAATGTATGCCCACATACTTTAGCTAATAGTGAAGAAGACTTAAGAATAGTTGTGTTATTGTTGATATGTGAGGTTTTTCGAAAGACAATCATTTTATTTTTTGTAAACTTTCATGATGTGGCTTTATATAAAGAGCATTCCGTGTGTGATCACAAACATAGTGAAAAAAAAAGAAGTGAAGTAATAATATCAGTATCCCTCTATTCCTCTCTTTACATGCAATCATTTTGTGTTATAGTTACGAAACCAAACAGTGTGATATTTTACACTCGTTTCACTCATGTCCTTAGCAAAGTTATATCTATAACTTTTGCCTATTTATAACTTAAATATGCTTTTTAGTGTAATGGTTTATAGATGTTTTTCTTTATTTATAAATGTGAAGTCTTAGTTAAATGAACATTTTGAATCTCGTGAATAACAAGTTTGGTACCAATTTATTTTCCTCATCACTTAATAATATATTTGTTTAAATTAAAAAAAAAATTGGGAATTGCTATGGTTTCACATATGAGTGACAAATCCTTGCAAAGTAGCCTTCTTATTTTTGTAAGTGGTTAATAGTTGGATTAGTTAAGAACGTTCACTTGTGGATTAATAATTAATATGGCTTAGCGGTATTCATTTTCAATTTAAGTGAGAAGTTTTAAGTTCGATTCTCATGAGAATTGACCCACATTATTATGAATGGTCCAGTGTGAAACTTAGCTTACTCTCACACCCCTTAGTATAAATATTATTGTTTAGAAAAAAAACATTCATTATTATATATGAGGTCTCGAGTTTATTTTTACCTTCATATCCTTTGCGAAAGATAAAGCTTTATGAAATTAAGTAAATAAAATGAGGAGTAGGATGAACGGCCATCAAGACAATTTACCACTTACGGAACTTTGTTAGATTCATATGTTGGATGAGAATCTTGATGTGTTTGCCTTTCCTCTCACTTGGGTCGTCATCCAATCGAAGAAGATGGTTGCTCGATAAAGGAGTGGGTCTGGAATGCTGGTGATTGTTTAATTTAAATTAGTGATTTCAGCTTGTGACTGGTGATTTTGTGGCATATTTGGGGGGGGGGGGGGCCAGGAACCAATTACTGTGGAACGGTAAGCTGGAATCTTCAAACTCTTTAGCAGCTGAAGTTGTTGCGTGGTAGCAGGATTTTGTCCGGCTTTCTTTTCTTATGTCGAACAAGAGCTCAGAGTCACCAACAACATATTTGGATGAGACCTCCCTTGTGGTTTCCACAAACTTAACGTCGATGGAGCTTGGTGTTGTGACCAAAAATAAATAAAAATAGGCGGAGTTGGGGTGGTGATTCGAAATGATGCTGGTTAGTTTCTTGCAGCCCGCTCCTGTAGTTTTCATCATGTGTTTATTGCCGCTGCAGACTGAGGCTTGGCGACCAGGGAGGGTTTGGCGCTGGCTTCAGAAAGGGGGATTACAAAACTTAATTGTCTAAAGCCAGGACGAAGCTACAGATTTGTATAAATGGAGCTATCTTCAAACAATTAAAAAACTAAAAAATTTACTGAACAAAACGCTTATATATATTAATTCATAAAGTTTTCATACAAAACAATTAGAATTATTGTTGGCGAAGTCAGTCACATTGATACCAATTAACATATAGGTTATGTATAGGAAATTAATTGTAGTTTAATTAGAGCTGGTCATTGGGATGCAAAACTGTACAATTTGTGTACATACATACATACGTGTGTGTATATATATATATATATATGATCAAAAACTGAGTGGGGGCATCCGCTCCAGGCCTATAGTGGCTCCATCCATGTCAAAAGCAACTCTCTCCAAATTGCAGCTGCTATGCGAGAAACCACCAGACTTAATAGCTGATTTGTTGTTAGTGGTTCGAGATCATTCATGGTTCGAGAAACCACCAGACTTAATACCTGATTTGTTGTTTGAAGAATGTAATGGCTAGTCTGGTGGTAGTAGCTTGCTTTGTAGTGGCTGTTGTACTTCCTCTCTTCTTATTAAAAAAAAATTGTAAGATTACACAGATATTTCATGATACATGATACTTTGATGTTCTCAAAATTTTAATTACACACAAAGCAGTGACAAAATGATGAAACAAGTAATATTTCATATGTGCCAATCACATATGCTTTCAACATGTCACAGAAATAAACAACTTATAACTTATTTGATTGAAGGTCGTTTCCTTATTTTTCTTTTATTGCATCTCAAATAGCCCAATTTCTAGCTGCAAATTTATAGAATTATATTCCGGTGATTCCTCTCAAGAAATCCCTCTAAGACGACCTTCTTCTTCCATTCTTCGGAATTCATATCCATGGCCCGGGGTATTAACATTGGAACTGGAATTATGGTGAGGGTATCCAGATCCATCAGCAGCAGTAGTGGTGGCGGCCGCCGCTGATCTTAAGCGCGGGAGCAAGTAAAACCATGCGGACGTACAAAGAATAGCACACAAACGACCCCATACTAACATAATAATCAACGTCACCAAAATAATAGACATACCAATCAGTGGATCCAAATTCTTCCTGTTGGCTGCAGTACTCGACTCTCCCTTTGCCTTAGCCTTCCCCCTATTATTATTTTTCGATCCGGGGTTGTTGGACACGGTAGTCGACCACGACCACGACGAATATTGTTTACTAAAATTGTGTGCCACGGACGGAGTCACCGGCGCCCCCTGTTGAGTTTGGCTTTCGCGAGCGGGGAAAGACACGGAGTGCGACACTGTCCGAGTACGCGACGTGCGCGTCCTGGCCTCCTGTCCAGCCGGTGAATCTGGTTGGCTTTGGCTGCTAGGTGGTCCTTTTCTTCCTGCAATAGTTGTACTTGTTCTTAGTGAATCAATCTTCCTGCAAAATCGCTTTTGACACGTGCCAACCTTAGGGGACTCCAAATGTTTCCTACTTTCGAGGTTGATCGTGTTGGTCTGCAGTGCACAAATAATTTATTATGTGAAGTGATACTGGGGGAGCAAAATCAAACTTAAAACCTTGAATCTAACCGTCAATGCTCTTAAGTCTTATCTACGAGCGAATAAATATTAATTAGGGTAAATTACATTTTCATACTTCATATTTGGGCTCTATTTCAATTCATTTCAACATCTTTAAAACATTTCAGTTTCATACCTTAAGTACTATTTTATTTCAAAATAATACATCCGTTACATTTTCCATCTATTGATCCGTTAAATACTGACGTGGCTGCCACATATATGTCAGGTGGCTGCCAAATGTCTGCCACGTGGCAAATAAAATAAAATTTTAATTTGTTTCAAAAACCTGCATTTTTACAACAAAAAAAAAAACCCAACGACCCACATCTGCAAGAAGAAGAAGAAGAGGGAGGAAGAAAGAAAGAAAGAAAATCACCCCAGCAACCAACTCAAAGTAATTTCAAAACTCACCCACATTGAAAATCACCATATCGCAGAGGGAGGAGGATCGCGGGGGAGAGGGGGGAGCTGGGTCTCTGGCGGGGGGGGGGGGGGGGTTGGTTTTTTTTTTTTTTTCTTTTCTTCCTCCCTCCTCTTCCTCTTCTTCTTCCTGCTGCAGATTTCTTCTTCGGGTCATGGGTGGGTGGGTGGGGTTATTTTTTTCTTTTCTTCCTCCCTCATCCTCTTCCTCTTCTTCTTCCTACTGAAAATCACCAGATCGCGAAGGGAGGAGGGTCACGCGGGGGAGAGGGGGGAGCTGGGTCTCTGGCCAGGGGGGAGGGGGGGACGGGTTCTTCCTCCCTCCTCCTCTTCCTCTTCTTCTTCCTGCTGAAAATCACAAGATCGCGAAGGGATGAGGGTCATGCGGGGAGAGGGGGGAGTTGGGTCTCTGGTCGTCAGGGGGGGTTGGTTTTTTTTTGTAAAAATTCAGGTTTTTTTAAAAAAATTTAAAAATTATTTTTGTTTGCCACGTGGTATATATTTGTGGCAATCACGTCAGCATTTAACGGATCAATGAATGGAAAATGTAACGAATATATTATTTTGAAATAAAATAGTACTTAAGGTATGAAGTGAAATGTTTTAAAGATGTTGTAAGGAATTAAAATATAGATGAAAGTGTAATTTACCCTATTAATTACTATACCTGTGGAGGGTTATGGTTAATAGGGGTCTGCGGGTCTGAGACGATGGGAGGAGGCTCAGCCTCTTCCCGACTTGGAGTCCCTGGCGGCTCCCCATCGGTGGTGGCCGGAAGTACTTCTTCGGAGTTAGAGACGAGGTTACCAGACTTTGACTTTGACTTTGACTTGGTCTGCAAGCTGGAAAACTTGACCACCTTGGACGGACGTTCCCTTTTGTCGGTGACGGTGGTACCGGAGGTGTCGATGGGGACGGTTCTGGCGGCGGACTTCTTGGTGCGAAACCTCCAGCTTGACCAAGAAATCAAATAACAGCTGCGTTGACTAGTAATACTAGTTGAATGTTCACCCTTCATATCAATCGTACGGTCATCGCGATTATCTTCTCTGGTATAGTTAGCTTCCTTTCGGATGAGGGGGGGCGACTTTGATCTCATACTCCGTCTGCGACTCGTTTGCCTGGAAAATCCGAAGCAAGCGAGAAACAAACTGTGTTTTGGTTTGGAAGTGGACGGAGTAGGAGTGGTTATAGGACTAGGAGTGGGAGTAATGGTTTTCTTTTGGATTTCTGCCATGGAAATCATGAGATAAGGGAGGAGGGGTAGGCATGGAGATGGATCATGGAATGGATGGCTTCCAACTTTGAAGAAAATACCAGCAGGTTTGCTCGCTCTAATGCTCGACCTTAATACCTTGAATTTTACACATAATTCACTATTTTTGTGATGAAAATTAATTTAGTCCCACTTGGTGTATTTTATTCTTATTTTTAATGGTGGCGTTGTTTATTGCTAATTCGGATGTGTAACAATATTAAAATGGATTTGGTTATGACTTGAGAATTAGGGATGCATGACTTTTAGACTTTGGTGGCTAATTAAGAAGAACAAATCCACAAGACCTTCCAGACGGAAAGGGATCCTCTTCGGTTACTTTCAACCAAATCCTGCACATCCATCAATCTAGAATCCAACGGCTACAAATAGTGGGACCTTTTAAAAGTTATAGTAACTTAGCTTCTACATTAATCCACACTAGCCTTTATGCAGGCGCGTACACGCATGCGAAAGCCTTTTTTTTTAATCACGGCGTGCTACGCGCAACATACGTAGTTTTTTTTTTTTTCACTGTGCAATTGTCAAGAAGCATGATTTTTTTTCCCCAATTAATGATACCGATCATTATGAACAACAAAAATAATGTAAGAACCTTTTGATAGGTTCATTTAAAAGATTTGAAAGTGCCGGAAACTTTGTGTAAGGTAAAAAAAATTGGTGCGTGAAAATTACTTTTCAAAAAAAAAAATGTAATAAATAATAATTAAATGTTTGTACAAACTAACATACAATATCTACATTTTTCATTTTGTGAAACAAATACAGATACTTTAATAAAACCTTTCGTATATAACTGAATCCCGTGGACTGCAAATATAGGCCACATGCTTAATTTTAGTTGTAAGGTATATTTAGCAACATCTCATAAAATTGTTCTATAGCGGTGCTCCAAAATTACATTTTTCCCGACTACCTGCAAATGCAAAGAAGTTATCAATCTCTACAACTTGTAAAATGGAAGTAAGACAATTAACATGGTACGATTAATTCAAAGTGATAAATTGTAAGCTTCAATGGAAACCAAATGGTAGAAGAAAATGCAATTGACCACTTCTTTACGATGAAGAGGGAGAGCATTGATGGATATGTTAGGGATTTCTTCTAAAAAGGTATTACAAACAAACAGCCAAATACTTAAACTCTGCAACTTTGATAAATTGATCACCTATTGAGTAAGCCTATGAAGCCTATGAAGCCAAGAAAATGGATAATTGATTTTTGTCATAAAATATAGCAAATCAAGATGACATTTAGAAGTTAGGATAAGTGGAAAAGTGATGCAAGAAAATGGGTACTGACAAAGCAGATACTATAGCCTTGCACATGGGTTTAATTGCTTAAAGGTTCAAGAATTTACATTGGTTTAGGATGTAATATCCAATATTTCCATAAGCCTCTCCACGTAATTTTTAAAATAACAAAACTCTTGAACAGTATTAGTGACAAATAAAATTCAAAATATCTAATTCGGACGAAGCAAGATAACCAATGCCTCTAAGTCAACACTAAGAAGCAAACCACCAAATTCTATTGTTAACCAAAATCTAACCTCTAAGTCAAATTGATCTGCAGAGGAATCTCCACTCACCGGTACCCCTAATATCCTCCCTTTACATAGTAAATGAACAAAAAACTACCAAAAAAAGAAAAAGAAATCAAATGTAGTTTTTGAATGCCCACCATTGATTTCAATAATCTCGTCATCCTCTTCTTCTGAATTTGTAATATGTACACACGTTGAAAAAATCTACTTATATTTCCAAATACAACATAAAATAATTTAGTAAACTTGGAAAGCAAAAATAAGTAGGAGATAAAGAAAAGAAAGATGAAGAAAATAAAAATAAGAAATTTATTTAACTGATTGTATTATGATTCGATTCAATGATAATTACACATTTACATAAAACTTTTGAATTAACCTGTCATCTCTTTCCACATTGCTTTGACATTTATCCTATCTAAGATCCCACCTGCTATCAAATCAAACCTTGATTTGATGAGAAACGAACTTATGCATGAAAAAACATTCATGAGAAGTCTTGCATTGTGGTCCAAGAGAAACAAACTGAATCAGTTTTAGATACTTGCAAGCCTTCAGTGACACACCCCGACCCAGGGGGTCCAGACGTGATTCTCCTTCGTTTCTCAACCATTTTCTTCGTATTTTATACCAAAATGAAGCCCCAAACATGTAGAATCACGATAGACTAGCTTAAGGCTCTAAAAATCAAGAAATCTCACCGGAAAATTTCCAAGAAAATCGGCCAAAGTTGAACCACGTGATCCCGACGTCCAAATCCTTCAAACGAAGTACTCCGAGCCTCCTTGGGACCTCACTAAGCTCACTACAAGCTTAGAATTCCCTGAAAATCAACATTTTACGTTTGCATGAACAGTGACAAAAAATGGAGGTTCGGGTTTCACGTGATTCCGAGGGTTTCACTTCCTAAAACTAGTACCAATCAACTTGAAATGACTCAAAGATGAAGATACATACCTTGGTTGCCTCGATCCACCGAGATTTGAGGGGTTTTGTGTGAGGCCGGAAAAACCAGTCCGGCGAGCCGAGGTTGAAGATGGTGCGCGTGGGGGGCACGTGTCCCCGTGCCTGTCATGGCATGTGGGGGCGCGTGGGACATCCAAAAATTTTTCTAAAAATTTCTCGACGTCCGTGACGTCGAGTAGGTCGATGTGATATATTCATATACCCAAATTGAGCATCGTATGAGAAGTTATTTCGAATTATTGGTTATGTGTTTAAAATTAACGTTTTTATAGTTGTTTCGCATATAGGTGACACCTATCCCGAGGACGAGCGCATCCAGGGACGTCACAGGGATTACGACCCATCGACTTATCAGTGAGTGGGCAGTTTTGATTTCGTATTACCTATATACAATTGTTTTTCCCCAGAAAATACGTTTATATGAAAATTATGAATTTATTTGCCATGCATGAAATTGTTGAGATATTTAGCTTGATAATTGATGCTTATATATGTGAATTGACGTGGTGGACGCACAGGTGAGTTTTATTATTATTCAGCTGAGTTATTTTATATGAATTGCATTGAAAACTCATAACCTGCACTTAGGTGTTAGTGCTTATATTGTTATTCACCACACCGTACGCTCGTCTTGGATCCAAGTAGGTGGATGTCGTACAGACCATGTGAGGGTTCCGACATGCTAGTCGTACAGATCATTAGATGTGATTCCGACTAGTGGGTGACCTTAGTTATGCGCGCTGATGATTGATGAGGGAAGCACTAGAGCGTAATTATACACCTGTCGTCGTACAGACTACTATATGTAGTTCCGAGTGACGTGCAGAGTTGGACCGTACAGGTCACCGAGGTGACTCCGGTTGGATTAGATGTTGAGCTTTAGAATCAGCCGTACAGGACCATTGTAGGGTCTCCGGTTGACGTATTATTTCACCTGATTGATATTGATGCATTCTGATTATATTTTGGGCATGGCATATCATTTCTGAGATGTTGTGATGATGGATATGAGTTGAGTTTTGATGTTGCGTATATATATATATGTATGTATGTATGTATGGTTATATACTATTTTCTGGGAAAGTATACAGGTTTTTACGGTGAGGGGTTAGAAATGTTTAAATGAACTGTTTTGGCAAACTCTTTGGTTTTACTGACCCACTCATTTTGTTTTGCGCCCCTCCAGGTTCTAGTTAGCGGTTGGTGGCTCTCGAGGTCTTATTCCGGCTTTCTAACAGACTCTTGACATGTAGGACTCACCTGAGGGTGATGTACTTTTATTTTAGTCCTACTTGACTGCACTGAAACCTATGCTCTGAATTTATGTGTTTATCTTAACTCGTCCTGTTATTCTAGTAGGTTGTTCTGCTAGAGTTTGGTTTGAATTCCTTATTGCGTATGTTATTGTTTTGCTTCCGTGTCGCACTTATGGTTACGTCACGCCCCCGTGACGGCCAGCACGCCTGGACCCCCTGGGTCGGGGTGTGTCAGTTATACATTTTAGTTCCTCTCGGGTGCATCGCATAAGCTGAACAATGCGCTTCATCCAAAATTTCCTTCTTTAATTCCTCATTATTCGGAACATACATTCTGTTTTCCTGCATAAGCATACCATTCGACCATTTTATTATTGGCCGGGTATGAAAAGGGAAATTGCAGATTATGTGAGTAGATGTATTATTTGCCATCAAGTTAAAGCAGAAAGAAAGAAGCCATTTGGGCGAATGCAGCCACTTCCCGTTCCCCAGTGGAAATGGGAAAATGTAACCATGGATTTCGTGTATAAACTTCCTCGTACACGAAATGGATTCGATGGTATTTGGGTGATTGTGGATCGACTTACCAAGTCAGCGCATTTCATTCCAGTAAGGGAGAAGTATCCTTTGAATAAATTGGCTAAATTGTTCATTACGAAGATTGTGAAGTATCATGGAGTTCCGGTGAATATTATTTCTGATCGAGACCCAAAATTTACTTCTAAATTCTGGGTGGCTTTTCAGGAAGCTCTGATACCAAACTGACACACCCCGACCCAGGGGGTCCAGGCATGATGGCCAGCACGCCTGGACCCCTTGGGTCGGGGTGTGTCATTCAACTAGAAACAATGCGTTGTTTAATTTGGTGTACACGATTAAAGATACAATAGCAATAGCAAATTCAACGGAGAGATTGAGAGGAAGAGTTACCATCAGCATCGTCAACAGCCATTTCCACATCTTGCAAGTTATCAGTCCCTTTGTCATAGCCTCCTTTTGATGCTAAAATCAAAATTAAATTACATAAAAATTAAATAAATATACAAACCCATACATACAGTAATTAAAATATAATTCTGATCGGAGTAATTAGTCAAGTGGCAAAAAAAATTGAATGTAGAAATACCAAGAAAATTGATGGAGTAATTAATTACCATCTTCAAAACGGGGCATGTACTGCATACCTGTCTTCTTTAAATACTGGTATGTGAATTCTAGGTCTAGAGCAGCACGATCAATATATTTTTTTTGCTATGGAAAAGCATGATCGCGTCGTGCGTTTTCATCCTCCCCTCTCATGCTGTAGATTTTAGTTTTTTGTGGCATTTTTTTGTGTGGTTTCAGT